TGACAATGAAAATTAAGCATCACTTATGACCTTCACATAAAAATTAAAGTCTTTTTTTGTTTGTTTTGAGACAGGGTCTCACATGGCCCAGCCTAACCTTGAACAACTAACTAATCCTCCTGCTTCTACATTCCAATTCACAGAGATCCGCCTGCCCCTGCCTCCTGAGTGCTGGGATTAAAGATGTGCGCTACCAACGCCTGGCCTATTTTAATTTTTAAGGCAGGGTTTCTCTGTGTAGCCCTGGCTGTCCTGGAACTCAATCTACAGACCAGGCTGGCCTCAAACTCAGAGATCTGCCTGCCTAGGCCTGGGATTAAAAGCATGCACTATGCCTGGCTCCAAATTCCTGACACCCAGATGAAACCCTGAATCCTAGGGATATAGTCATCCTTGATCACCAGAAAGTCCTACTAAATAGATCTGCGTCCAACCAATTTCCCCGCTTTCAATGTAAGCCTCACTGTCAGAGACCATCTGTCCCGGCAGGTGCCCAGTGGTCATCCTGCTTTCTCCCTTAGCCCTTCTATTATCTATTTGGCCTACTTCAGTCTTTTGAAAATGAGGCAGATGTTTCACCACCATGCAGAATCTTCCAGAATGTTCTGTTTGTTTGTTTTGACTATTTCCTGGCTGTCGGGTGATCTTCATAACCCCTCCTACCTATCCAACTCAATATGGTTTGCTTACTCAGCTCCTGCCACATTGATTCTAAGATTCCTTTGTGATGCCAGTCAGGTGTGCTCCCACCTCTGGATAAGTAGAAAATTAAAAACGCACCAGGCAATAGCTGGTGCTTTTGAGTTGTTTCCCTTTTTAGACAGCGTTACTCCTGGCAGTGGATCAGATCTCTTCCACCATTTTTCTCTGAATAAAATCCCCTTGCTACTTTGCAGATCTGTGTGAACCTTTGAATAAGAGGCCAAGAACCTGAAGAGACCCAGCCTAGACCAGTGCTAATCCTGACCTCCTTCCTTTCTTGTTTCGGTGTTGAGGGTCTTGCACATGCTAGACAGCTAAGCTACATTTCCAACACTAATCCAGCACAGGGTTTCCCTGAACACTTCTGACACCTCATCGACCAGAACTAAGTCTGATGACCTCCCTAGCTGCAAGGGAAGTTGAGAAGGGGGAGGCAAAGGAGAAAGATGAGAATGTGAATGAGAATACTTTCAGACCCTACCTTAGAGCTACTGAGTCAGAAATGCTGAGGGTTGTGGCATGAATACCAACCATCTATGTGGTAACAGACCTTTCCAGAAGATTCTGATACACCTGAAGGTAGTGAATCATAGCCATATGATGGGGAGGGTTTGTTTGTTTGTCTCTGTTTTGGAAAAGGGTCTCATGTATCCCAGGCTGGCCTGGAACTTGCTATGCAAGGGAAACCTTGACTTTCTGATTTATTTATTTATTTTTACCTCCTGAATACTAGTATTACAGGTGTCAGCCACCACACCCCACTTTTGGACTGCTGGGGATAATACCCAGGGCCTCCTCCATGCTAGGCAAGCACTATACCTTCTTTACATAACACTATTCTCCTAGTTTCCATTGTAGCCAGTCTTGTGGTATGAAAAGAATCTTGGACTGGCACACATATCACCTGTTTTCTTTGTAGAAGATCTGCTACTTGCTCACCAAAAGACACCAGTTTTCTGACCTATATACTGATTTCATTCAATAAACTGTGGTGACCAATTTAAATAATGTAGATAAATACTTTGCAATCTGTAAATCATTAAGTAAATGTTTTGATTTTTGAATGGATCTTAGGAGAATGAATTAGGTCTGAAGTTCAGAGACAAAATAAAACTGGGAAGAATATAGTGGTGACTGTCATCATCAGCAGAGAACCAGGGCTGATACTTAGAGGAGGTCTCTAAGGAAGAAACAGTGGAGACCGGCACTGTGCTCATTGCATTGCATCATGGGTCAACATTTCAGACAAGGGAAACTCTCTTGACGAAATCAAATGTTTGGGGAGAACTGCAGCTGGCCAATCAATACAAGGTCAAACCCTCTACATCTCCCAGAGGCGCGGCATTTTATTATACTCTTATTTTATTCTGAATCAAGGTCTCATGTCTTACTGTGTATCTCAGCCTGGCCTGGAATTCACTGTCTAGAAACTCAAATGAGATTCTCTGGTCTCAGCTTCCCACAAGTGGGGATTACAGACTTGTGCCAGCGCACCCAGCTTGACATTTCCTGGGGTCAATGATGACAGTGGGATTTTGCCATAGCTTTGTCAACAGTTTATGTAACTGACATGATGGGCAGAGTACAAATGCCTGGGAGACCCAAAACTACCCATAAAAGGTAGAAGGAGACAGAAAAGTTACAACAGTCAGCGACAGAAATAGAAACTGAAACCACAGAAATTCAAAAATGCACCATTACAAAACAAACTTTTGGGGTGGCTGCTCCAGGTGGTTTCCAGAAGAGGAAGGAGGTGTAGGTGGCTTCAAAACAAACCCTTCGGAGGGTACTGGAAGGGAGCACTCACAGGAAGATGGGTGAGAAGCTAGGAAACAAATTGGAGGATTTAAAAAGAATGAAACGATACTGTGTGAGCACCAAGTACGGTACCCATCCCTTTCGTATTAAAGCCTACTCACTCCGTTCCCTGTCTGTTCATTCCACTACAGCGCCCCAGAGTGGCACCTGGAGCTGTTTTCACTGGGTGAACTTAGACCAGTCCCGGAGACACCCAGTCATATCTAGGCTTGCCTTCAGGAAGCTGTGACAAGGCCTAGAAATTGTCATGACTGACAGCAGGGCCCTCCTGAGGCTAGGGGTTTGACCTGCCTCTTCAGGTGAGCCTGTGTCCAGCAGGAAGTGTTGGTAGGCTGTCACCTGGCAACATGGACACTGTGGAGTAGTTAGGAGACTTTGTCTATTCAATTGGTCTGTACAAAATGTGAAGCCAAGGTCTATTTATTGATTGATTTGTTTAACATTTGGGCTGCAACGCACAAGTGCTGTGATAAGAGAGTTTGTAGAAGCAACATTGCAAAGCCACGTATTCCCAGGCACTAAGAGAGGATGTGATCTACATATGGAAATCTAATGATGTAACCCTCTGAAATGCTGAGGGAGACTGGCCAGCTTCACCATCAAGTTGACCATGCTCAGTTCAAACAAGTAGGCCAAGGCTGGGTCATAGTTTCAAAACTCTCAGTCTTTGGACCTGCTTTCTAACAGGCAAACTAGGCCCATTTTTTTCCTCCCCGCCCTTGCGGTGAACCCACTGACCTCCTGAGCCTTGAGAGTCTAGTATGTAGGCCGTCACAGCAGCTGTCACTTGATACATGAACAAGCTTCCTCCTCTGGATCCTGAGGGACAACTCTGATTAGTGCCTCTCAAGGAAACGATTAAAATGCAGCTGCAGAATGGTAATTCCTGGGGTCAAGTGTAGGCCCTGGTGACTCTCAGGTTATGTGACACGAGTGTCATTTGACACCTCTAGGTCCCAGCCCTTCTCAGGTAAGTTCTGCTACTGCAATTACCCCAGCTGTCCTCTAGCCAGTGTCACCTCTCTGTGACACCAGCAATACCTGGGTGTCATTACCCCAGAAGAAATCTGAGATGGAACCAAAACTCCCCTGCCTCTCACTCGCCCTTCTCTGCCCTGTGCTCTCCTCTCCTGCATTTCCTTCCTTTCCTTCCTACCTTCCTACCTCCTTTCCTTCCCTTCCTTCCTTCCTTCCTTCTTCTTCACGTATGTTCTGTTTTTGAGACAGAGTCTCAGATACCCAGGCAGACTCTCTAACTCCCTGTGTAGCTGAGACTGGCCCCCAGCCTTTGGTCCTCCTGCTTCTACTTCCCAAGGGCACAGGTGTATATCACCAGGCCTGCCTCAAGATTTCTTTCAAAAGGACTTCTTGGGACTGGAAAGAGGGCTTGGTGATGGAGAGTACATGCTGGTCTCACAGAGATCCCAGGTTGGGTTCCCAGCACATAACATCTCTGAACTGTCTGTACCTCCAGTGTCAGGCCACCTGACACCCTCTTCTGCTCTTCAAGGCTCACATACACATGCAGGCAAACACTCATACATCTAAAATTAAAATAATCTTTAAAGGATTGCACAATTGTTTGCAGTGAACTGTGTCCCCCCCACCTTGAAATTCCTGTTGGAGGCCTAGCCCCTGGCACTTCATAGTGGGCTAGGTCTGGAAAGGTGGTAAGTTGGACACAGACCATCAGGGTAGATACTGATTAGGTTGTTTGACCTCCAATTTCTACCCTCCAAAAGGCAGGGCAGTATGAACTGTTCTGTAACCTGCCTATTCTCGGAACCTGCCTAGGCTGCTGAGCAGACAGATAGTCAGACTTTGTTGTTGTTGGTGGTGGTGGTAGTTTTTGATTTTTTTTTTTTTGAGACAGGGTTTCCCTTTGTAAGGGTCCTGGTTGTCCTGGAATTTGATTTGCAGACCAGACTAGCTCTGCCTCCCGAGTTCTAGAATCAAAAGTGTATGCCACCATGCCCAGCTCAGTTAAACTTTTAAAATTCTGTTTTTAAAATTTATTTATTTATGTATGTATATGAGTGTTTTGTTCACATGTATATCTGTGTACTACATTTGTGCCCGGTGCCTACAGAGGAGGGCCACTGGATTCTCTGGAACTGGGGTTATGAACATGAATTATCATGTGGGTGCTGGGAATCAAACCCAGGTCTTTTTCAAAAATAAGTGCTCTTAACCACTGAACCACCCCTCCAGCCCTACAGTTAGATATTCTATTTCTATTGCTCCTTTTAACCTCTCCCAGCCAGGATTTCACCAATCCCCACAACTGCTTTTATGGGATCACCACTGACACCATCCAATGTGCCTGAAGTCACTGGGCCACCGCTGGAACATCCTTACTAGTGGGAGCTACTTGGGTGACTCTACCTTGGGGCTTGTGCCTGGTAGGCAAGTGGTGGGTCACTGAGATACATCTCCTACCCTTAGTTCTTAAAATGTTTTTCTTTTGAAATACAGTCTTACGTTGCCCAGGCAGGACTGAGTCACAGGGAAGACAGAGACCCATACTGCAGAACCTGGCTCTCAACACATGTTGAACACGATGCCAATTTGCTCTGCTTTCCAAGTTCCCTCTGACGGTGGCCTGTCTGGCCGTGACCACATCGTCTTCCTCACAACCCTTTGGCTAAGTCTCCTGTGGTGAGCAGTGGTGGTGGTAGGGCCTATGGACTCACCCCTTCTCCTGCTTCCTCTTTGGGTCATTTAGGGCTTGCCTCAAAGCTCACCCTCTGGAGAGGTCTCTCTTGAAACCCTCCTCTCACCTAGCACTTACTGGAAGGTCAGAGAAGCCAGCACACTTAGGCTACACCCAAGCCATATGCCACTGTATCAGACACTTCACATTTATTATTACCTCAGTTAGCCCTCAGGACAACCTTTAACAGAGGGTTAGTCCATTGTCACCAGGGTGGGACAAATGCAGGCACAGGCAGACCTGGTGCTGAAGAGAGGCTGAGAGCTCTACTCCTGATCTTCAGAGGGCAGATCTAGACCTGAGCTCACCCCCATCGACACACTTCCCCCCACAAGGCTAATCCCTCTCATGGGGGCCACTATTCAAATCTACAAGCCCTATGGGGGCCATTCTTATTCAAACCACACTTCTGTTCCAAGCTTCCTGGTCCCTTTCTCTCCACTAGGGATAACGGATTTCATTGGAATTTTAAGTAACTGATCTTCTGAAATGCATTTTTCCTAGACAACTGGCAATAGTCTGGTCCAAGGTCAAAGTCCGGCTGACCCTCTCTGTTGGTAGATAAGAAATGCCCTAGCAGACTTTGCTTTGGGATTCTCCACAGTAAAGCTGAACAACTCAGTGCTTTATGATGGAGGAAGGCCTGTAGGGTCCTCCTTTGTGGTTTAGAAGGAAACAATACTCTTTAGCAATCTCAGTGTGCCTGGCAGGGTGACAGCCACAACCTAATTTTGTGACCAGGAGACAGTTGCATTACTTGTATCTGGATACTGGCATAAATGTGGCCCAGCTCTGTGGTCCTTCAAACAAAACTTGAGGTTGAATTCCTTTTGTTCTGGTAGATAAGGGAGTGTACTGAGAACTATGGAAAGCAGACAGGGGTGCTCTGACAGATGGGGAAGAGAGTACCCACACAGCAGGAGGTCAGCCTGGAACTGGGTACTATAGCAACACACTGAGAATTAGCCTATGAATTAAAGGATGGTTGCATTCTCGGAGTCTGTGCAGGCAGGGAATGGCCAGGTTTTTTGTCAACCAACAGAGAAAAGAGTGTGTTGCTAATGTGTGGTTTGAGCTCAGTTGCATGCAGACAGCTCTGAGCTGTGGAGGTGACCTTACTCCTGAGTCTTACTTCATCTAAGTATGCAAACCAGAAGTGCTCCAAGCAGGGGGGCAGAGGGATTGATCCACTGAAGCTGCTGCCACCAACACCACCATCCCCCACCAGTGTGGGCAGTAGGCAGTGAAGAGTTTTGGGGATTTCTGTTGCTGTTAGTAGTTCCTTATACTATTATCTAGTCCCCATACTTCCAGACAATGTCCATGATAAAGTACTCCTTCTTCATAGGGCAGACATAGACACTTTCCACAAACAGCCATCCACCTTAGTTTCTTGGTACATCACAGAAATAAACAAGTACCAGCAAGAAAACAAAGCAGCAAGAGTCAACAGAAAGCAAGTGATGGATGCCTGAGGTAAGATACGGTTTTCCTTTTCTTTTGTGGTGCTGGGTGTTGAACCCAGGGTCTTGAACATGCCTGCCAGGTACTCTATCACTGAGCTAACATGCTGAGTCTGATGAAAAAAAACAAAACAAAATGAGAACTTGTTAAGATAGAGATGGATGTCTGTGACGGGCCTTTGGGGATTTGAGGCTGTTGGTGGTGCTAAGGTTTCTGTTTGGGTCTGGTTTGCTTGTTGTTTGAGACATGGTCTATGATAGACCAGAGAGGCTTCCATTTGGAAGATTCCCTTGAGCTCCTAATCTTTGTGCCTCTACCACCCAAGCACTGAGATTACAGATGTGCGATGCCACTCTGCTGGCTTTTTCGGATTTTCTGTTTTGTATTTTGGTCATCTGTTGCTTTAAAAGCTGCACTAAGAGCTGGGGGTATAGAGGGCTACCTCCGTCTATCTTAAGATTTCCTGTCTATCTTAAGAAAAAGGCCCTAGCTTCAATCCTGAAAAACAAAAGTGAAACCATAAACCACCCACATTTAATGCATTAAAACAATTATTTTCTGGGTAAAGTAACACAAATCCAGTGACCACAGCCCTTGGGAGGCAGAGGCAGGAGGATCAGGAGTTTAAGGCCAGCTTGAGCTTCATAGTGAATTGGAGGCCAGGTGGGGCTACAAGAGACTGTCTCAAAAAACAAAATAGAACAAAATCAACCAAACAAAAAGAACAAGCATTTGTTTGCTTGAGATTCTGCCCTTTTGGCAGGACTTTATGGAGACAGCTTAGTCCACATTTCACATATGATCTACTGAGGCCAGGACCTTTTTCTCTCCTGTATAGTAAGTACCTCAGCTTGGCAGGACTGTACTCCAGGGCCTGGCCAGGCATCTTTACCATGTGGCATCTTTACACAGTTTGAGCTTCCTCACTGACTGACAGTCTGTCCTGTCATGTGGTTGTCTCCTCCCACACTACAAAGCAGAAACTGCCAGACGTCCTTAGTGCTCAGAAGTGTAAGTCCTGGAATATCATTTCTAGTCTACGGGTGGCTCACAGCGTCACAGGGCCAGCCCAGACTCAGGTAGAGGACAGACTACATTTCATGATGGAGAAATGATGGTGATTATCTCTGGAATCGTTTGCCTCAGGTTTACTCTGCCATGATAAGGTATTGTATGCTTTGACACATTGCCTTTAGGGGTAACAAACATATTAAGCTGGATAAGGTAAGCCTTTTCCATAAAAAACAAAACTAGACTTTTATAATTGTTAATAAATTTTGGTTCTAAATGGAAGATGACTGTAGGTGGATTCTTAAAGGGAAATGAGATAGTGGGGCTCCAAACACATGGATAACATTTGAGAGAAAATAACCTGAAATGCAGACTGCACACAGACTACACCCTTGAAAGCATATTAGATCATTACCTGAGTGCCAGACAAAATTCCCCGACTCCCTGCAGAGCAGAGAGGACTTGCAGATCAAAATCCATTGCCCTCTAGTTTTGGGTTGGCAAATTAGACTAAGGGGAGCTGACATGTCCACAGCTTCAGGAAAACATCTTAAGGAGCAGCCTTAAACATACCTGAGCGCCTGGACTAATCACTGAGAAGTGAAACCCCCTGCTGGCAGGGGAAAAAGCACACAAGATCTTTGTCTCAGATCAGGAGATGAGGAAGAAGCGAGACATTTGCCATCTTTCTCTATAACGGGTTTCTTTGTCTCCCCCTCAGGGACCTAACTCAGTGGTTCCCAAGTTTCCTAATGCTGGGACCTTTAACACAGTTCCTCACGATGTGGTGACCCCCAACCACAACATCATTTTCCTTGCTACTTCGTAACTGTAACTTTGCTGTTATGAATCATAATGTAAATATCTTGTATTTCCCATTGGTCTTAGGCGACCCGTGTGAAAGGATCTTTCGACTTCCAACGGGGTTGACTCCCACAGGTTGAGAACTGCTGGTCTAGCTCCTAGTACCTTAGAGAGACCACTTGAGCTATACATCTCACCAAGGACAGAAGATTACACCTCAACCCAACAGACTCCATTGAAGTGACAAGCATCAACATGACTCTTGCCACTGTCAGTTAATCCATGTACATATGTGCAGTAGAGCTTTGGTTTGGAAACCCTTAAGTGCAGTGTCTCGTTTCCTTCTCACAATAAATACTGATGAGTAGGCAGGTCTCATGCGAATGTCTACATTTTCCAGGCATATGAACTAAAGAGGTTATAACCTCCTTGGGTCGTATGAGAGCTTAGATGCAGGCCCCTGGGAAGAAAGAGTTAATTCTGCACCCAGGGTTCCTCTTTTCATAAGTTAAGGGCCTTTAGGCCTCAACTGGAAGCCTCCTCTGCCCGGCTTGGCTTTTGCCTTGCCCATGGGCAGAATCTTGGGTGCAAAGCTAAATGGAAGTTCCTAAAACAGATGAGGCCCTGGCTTCTTGCTTTCCTGAGGGGGCGGGCTGGGGTGGCCCACCGCATCCCACGTATTTGGAGCCCAGACTTTGAGGAACGCCCAGAGGTGGGTTTGCCCTCAGCGCCACGGCTATTGGGTTTACCCAGCCACCCCCTCAGCGAAAAGGGTCTAGTGCCCACACTCTGAGCTCCTCACAGCCGGAGCAGCTCTGGGGGTCGGGCTCTCCCCCGCCTCGCTCTCGCTGGCTCCCATCTCGGCCAGTCCCCGGGCCCCGCTGTCCCCCTCCTCCTACTCGCCCCGAGTGCGCTCGGGCTCCCGCTTTGTTGCCCGGGCTTGTTTCTGCCCGGGGCGCGCCGCGGGCTGGCGGCCAGGTCACGTGCGTTAGTGACAGCCTCTCGCGGAGCGGCCCCGGGGGGCCCCGGCGCAGCCCATTGGTCGGCCCGGGGCTGGCGCGGCCCGGGGCGGGGCCGGGGAACCGATCAGCTGTTCCCAGAGCTGCACAACAACAAAAGGACCCGGACGGGCCGGCGGCCGCCAGGGCACGACCGACCGCCGCAGGAGCCGGCCTGCCGCAGCTACCTCAGCGCCCCCCGCCGCTGCGCTCGGCTCACGTAAGTGCCGGTGGGGTGGGGGCGGCTGGGCGTCCGCTCCCTGCCCCCCTCCCGGGCCGCGCAGGGCGACCCCGAGGACCTGCGGGTGACGGGAAGCCCGCTCCGTTACCCGGACACCCGCCCGGCCCCTCCTGACCCTGCGCACCACCGAGCGTGCACCTGGGGGCGAGCACTTCCCGTCGCTTCGGCCCGGATCAGTTTGGCCAGGGACTCTTGGGGTGTGCCAGAGACTGCTGGGGACTCCAAACACTTCATCTCGGACGGTCGCGACCGTCCTGTGAGGCCAGCTTTGCTTACTGAAACGGAGGAAACTCGGAGGCAGAGGGAGGTTAAGTAATTTTATGGCCACGCAGCCAATTAAAAGGAAACGGTGTTTACTATTTGCAGAGGGATTTCGCGTGCAACTCCTCCTTTTTGCTTCTATTTTCGTGGTTCGTTTACTCCGCATAAAAGTTCAGAGTAGATTAAGGGGCACCCCTTTCCACCTGTAACTCCCAAGGATTTCAGCGTCCCTGGCTGAAAGAGTCCTTTCAGAATGCTTAGTTTGAGAGGAGTGTGACTCTTGGGTCGTTACAGATGTCTAAGATCCTGAAATCACAGGCTTGGTGATTGTAATACTTTTCATTGTGTAAAAAGCACCAGGCAGCCGTTCAGTCTCAGCCACTATAAATCGAAGCTATAGCTTCCAAAGGCCTAATTTTTTATGATCAAGGTGTCTTTTGTCTTCTCATCCAGACTTTTATTCTTTTCTGTTTCCTGGTGTATTTCTCTTGAGAATGGTTGCTTTCAAAGGTCAAGCTTAAGAAGCAGTCAATTACCAACCTGTTTTCTGCCCACTGTCTTCAGACTTCAGGACAGAAGGTGATGTGTCCACTGGGAAATAATCTCCTTGTAAATTAGTTAAAAGACAGTAGAGGTGGAATGAGCCAAAACAACTTCCTTGGCTTTTTTTTTCAGTTCAAAATTTATTTTTAATTTCTTGACCCAAAGCCAAGGCTTGATGGCTCACACCTGTAATTCCAGTACTGGGAAGGTGGAGGTGTGAGAATCAGGAGTTCAAGGCCAGCCCAGCCTGTGGTTGGAGGCCAGCCCTTGTCTCAGACCAAAAGAACAAATACTTGTATTAGCACCTTTGTTTTTCTGAACTAGCAGGTTCTCTCCCGCCACCGTGTAGATTCTGGGGATCCAGCTCAGGTCACCAGGCTTGCCGGCAGACATTTCTACTTGAGCTATCCTGCTGGCTGCAGAGAATAGTTTTAAGGATGCTTTTCAATGATATGTTTAGTCAGCTGGTATTTCAAAACTGCCAAGGAGCCACAACTGCACTCATCAAAGTTGTGGGTGCTTTTGTTGTTGTTAATTTTAAAGTGTTTTTGGAGCCGCCTACTGGCAGCCAAAACAACTGAAAAGTGCTAGTCTGAAGTTTTTATAACTGGGCTGGAAGGATTCCTACACTACTGCTACTTCTAGGTACCAGCTCTCTTGCTTTTGGGCAAGTTATTTTCATTTCTGGAGCTCAGTTTTTTCACCACAGGACCAAGAAATAAATATCTCAATTGCCTGTCACATACCATAAAGCCTTCTGCAAATTGTAATTCTTGTTAACCAGTGCAAGACTAGTTAGGCTTACATATATATGGGCCTTTATAGGGGAAAACAAAAACAACAACAAAACCACCCAGACCCAAAGATGCTTACTGACCTGCTCAGTTTCCCTGTGAGCCTGCCTGCTATTCACAAGCAGTGACTGAGGTTGTAACTGAGAAGCAGGTAGAGGCGTCTAAACACCCATTTCCCGCATGTTGTAGCAGAAGGACCAAGTTTGGAAACCAGCAGTTAAGTCCACACCACGCTCTCTCTCTGAGTATGCATCTCAGAACTGGGAGAGGCAGGCCGGCAAGATCTTACAAGCTAACAACTCCACTGTAAGTCCCCAAAGGAGTATTCCTACCCACAAGGAAACTCAGCCACTGTCCATAAAACAGTTTCTACCCATATGTGAAAAACAGGATAAAATGTCAATTAAAAAGATACAACTTGCCGGGCGGTGGTGGCGCACGCCTTTAATCCCAGCACTCGGGAGGCAGAGGCAGGCGGATCTCTGTGAGTTCCAGGCCAGCCTGGTCTATAAATCAAGTTCCAGGACAGCTTGGGCTGGTATCACAGAGAAACCCTGTCACAAAAAACAAAACAAAAAAAAGATGACTTATTTTTTTTAATTATGCCTATAAGAAAAAAGAAACCTAAGAAAATGGGCCAGATGCTAACAATGATTGAACAAGGTGATGGTGTAGAAATCTACCAGCATTTTCTCAACTTCTATGATATGGTTTTGTTCATCTTATTAAAAGGTGTATATATATATATATATATATATACACATATACATACATACATACATACATACATATATATATATATATAGTGCAAGCAAGCAGTAATGGGAAAATCTGCCTTGATCAATACTTGGGCGCAGATAATTTGTTTTTCCTACCTGGGGCTTCCAAGTACCTCAGAGCAGCAGGCTGCCTCCTCCAGTTTCTCTGGCCTCTCTGTTAAATTCCACAGCTATATTTGTCAGTCTGTCCTCTTGGGGATTCATGTTTTCTCTGGAACTTTCATTATAGTTTTACTACTGCTGTAGAGTTATGAATGTGTCAGTGACCATATGGGGAAACTGTGAAACCCTACTTTTCCTATTTGTCTCCACACAGAACCTGCTTTCCTTGGAGCTAACTAACATCTCTGGGTGGGCGCTGAGGTTAAAAGAATAGTGACTATTATGAAGGTACATTCTTTGTGTCATCAGTGGGAGGGTAGGGTGTTAAACAGAAGACTTAAGAAATGTTTTCTTTTTATTACAGAGGGGGGGGCATGCATCCATGCATGCAGGTCTGCAGAGGTCAGAAGAGGGCATGGGGCCATCTAGTTGTGAGACACCTTATGTGAGTGATGGGAACCCAACTCTAGTCCTTCTGCAGGCAGTATACACTCTGTCTACCTATCTCTTTAGTTCCTAGGGAAAGAAGTTTTTTTTACAACAGCACTGTCCTACGTGAATGCTTAAATTTTCTAGTAGCTATGTTTAAAATGAAGGGGAAAATGAAATTAATTTTATTATAATTTATTTAACCATAACTATCAAAACATTATACTAACATGTAATTGATGCAAAATTATTAATGAGATAGTTAATGTTTTCAGTACAAAATCTTTCAAGTGCATTCTAGTATATACTTTATATGCATTAGGTATAACCAGATGCAAAGTCCTCACTGAAAATACTTAAACCATATTTAGTTGTATTACTTTAAGATGAGTTTATTGAGTGGGCAATGGTGGCAACACCTTTAATCCCAGCACTTAGGAGGCAGAGGCAGGTAGATCTCTGTGGGTTCAAGGCCAGCCTAAAGTTCCAGGACAGCCAGAGCTACATAGTGAGACCCTATCTTGAAATCAAAACAACAGCAAAAAAAGAAAAGAAAGGTACTCCGCCCCCCAATTTTTTTTAAGGTTTAACCCAACAAAACAGTTCTAAGAGTGAAAATTTAGTGTCTTGGTCACAGGAGTAACATACATGGGATGGTTTATCTGCTACATTTGGTGGCAGCCTTGATGGAGTTTGGTGTATAGGGTTCAATGCCCTAGCACTTGGCTGTCTCTGGGAACCCTACTGAAGGTAGGGCCAGAGGGCCTCGTATAGTTAGACCATCCTCACACCATGATTGTGCTCATGTGGGCCCTCCTTGGAGCAGTCCTGTCCATTTCCCTTACTTTTCTCCAGTGAGACTGAGGCTCACAGGATTAATCCACACAGTTCCAGTCACCAGCAGTGACTCTATGAGCTGAAGACAAGTTCTTTCATTCCTACTTCTGGTCCTTGCAGAGAAATGTAACCACCCCTGACTTTAGAAAATAAGAGTATGACTCGTGCTGAGTCTCACGGAGATTTTCAGGAGCAGCCTGCCTGTGGCAGAGCCCAGATAGTACAAGCATAGGCAGCCTCTCTGGGTTTGTCTGTAGCCAACGGGGAACAGTTTGCAGCTGCCCCAGTAGCTTTGATGCAGCCACGTTTTATGACTTATAGCCACTGATACGGCCTAAGTCCCAGGGCCTTGTCCCCAGGCAAGTGGAGAACAAGGCTCTCACCCAGGATGACTGAAAAAGTTCCCTGTGAGGTCCTCCCTGCTGCACAGCAGCTCTAGCTAATGAGGGCATACAGCTAGAGTCTTATACTCAGGACAGTGACGACAGCTCTCTAAGCTTCTTCGGCACAGTTGTACTTGGGCTGTTATCTGCCCTCATAACCTAAGAGAAATTGGGAAAAGCTTGAAACTATCTTTATTCCCCCTTTCTTACGTGCTCAAAACTCTTCATGTACACCCAACCTCATAGTGACTCATCCTTTGGTTTCAGGCAGATTGCACACTCCACCTTTTCTACAATTTCTCTTGAATTCTCCTTGTTAGCATGGAGCCCTCATGATCTGCCCATGCTGCTTCCCAGGAGGTTTCCAGGAAAACTGGTTATGCAAGTGACACTTCCTGTTTACCCACTTTTAATAATTAATGGCTGAGGATGATGCATTACAACCAGTGTCTTAATGTCATTTGTTTGAGGTTTTACCCTTGTATGCCAAATAGTTGTGGCAGTCTGTTCTATACACAGACAAAGGCAGCACAATACCCTTCTGTGAAGATGATTTTGAATGTGAGCTGGGCACTCTATCTCATGTATGTAATCCTAGCTGATACAGAAAGATCACTATGAGTTCCAAACCAATCTGGGCTAAAGAGCGAGGCCCAGTTTAAAAAAAAACAAACAAAACCCAAAAAAACCCACAAGAGCCTATTTCATTTCCCTTGTGTTGACAGCGCCTAAATTTGTGCTCCTAGGTGGAACCACATTCCTAAACGTGTGTTCTACTACCTAGTATCTCTAGTTTTATCGTCATGAACTCCCCTAACTCAGCCCAGGAATGGCATCCGTCTTGTACTTTGTGTGGCATCCCTGTCCTCTTAATGTCCCATTATAACTCGACTTATCCAGAAATCTGGTTCTTCCTGACCACACCTTTTATTTATTAAAAACAAACAAACCCAGGGTTTTGCTATGCACCCCAAACTGGCCAAGAAATATTGATCCTCTTGTCACAATCTGTCAAGTGGTGGGTTACAGACAGCATTTCCATGCCTGGTTTCTCTTAATTTCTTCCCTGTAAAGTTCTGCAGGATCTGGTCCACCTTAGTCCACAGCTTGTTCCTTTGACTCTCAGTCTGGATCTTGAGCCACCTGGATAGTGCCAAGCTCTCTCATAGGCAGGCCTTCATAGAGTGCTGTCTGCCTCTTCTGTACTCTTCTCGATATCCAAGGTCACTCACTGGAGAGCTGCACCAGGGGATGTCTGAGGACCATCTGGAAATTCTTTGTGCTACATCATAAAATTCACTGCTTCACTTCCTGTGTGGTTTGTGTTCACTGCTGGTTCCCATGCTCAGCACTCTGCCTCACACACAGCAGGTACACACTAAATGTTTGTAGAGTAACAGCTGATCTATCCAGAGAACTTTGCATGAGCATTCTGCCTGCATAATCTCACTTAACAAGAGTAGATCAGGGAGACTGTTGGTGGCCTATGGTAGATTGAGAGCAATCTACAGCAAGTAGATTTAGGCTGTTTATATAGCCAGAGGCCACAGAACGTGCTGGTAATTTGGATAAGGAACTGAGTGGCATCAGAGTTGGTAGGAGGTAGCCAAAAAAAAAAAAAAAAAATCTTGAGGAAAAACCTAAAAAATCTTCTTGATGTGTTCCATTTACTGTGCTATTGGGCAGTCAGGTAGAAATGGGCACTTACATCTGTAACTCTGTTTAGATAAGACAAGCTGTGTTTCCTCATTTAAAACTCACCAGAACTACCTGAGGTAGGAGCCATAATGGACTGACATTGTGTAACTTCCTAAGTCATTTTTTTAAAGCGTGTGTGGTACATCTGTGGCGGTCAGAGGATAACTTGTGTAAGCTGTTTCTTTCCTTCTTTCTACGTGCCATCTCAGGGATCAAACTTACATCGTTAGGGCTTTTATAAGCAAGTGCCTTTACTCCCTGAGCTATTTCACTTGCTCGTCTTTCTAAGTTCCTGTGGGTTTTTAAGATTTATTTTCTATTGTGTTTTGCTTGCATGTATGTATATGTACTGTGTACATGCCTGGTGCCCTCTGAGGTCAGAAGAGGGTATCAGATCCTCTGGAACTGGAGTCACAGATTCGTTGTCTTAGTTAGGGTTTCTACTGCTGTGAAGAGACAGCATGACCATGGCAACTCTTACAAAGGAAAACTTGAGGCAGTGGCTTACAGTTCAGAGGTTCAGTCCACATTCATGATGGGAAGCATGGCGGCATGCAGACACATGTGCTAGAGGGAGCTGAGAGTCCTGCATCTGGATCCACAGGCAGCAGGAAAAGAATGAGAGCTACGCTAGGCCTGGCTTTAACTTCTTCCAGCAAGGCCACATCTCCCCATGGTGCTATTCGGGGCCTATTTTCATTAAAACTACCACAGGTGTAAACTACCATATGGGTGTCTGGGAACTGAACTGGTTGTCTACAAGAACAAGTGATCTTAACCATTTCTCTCTCTCCAGCCCCATCTTCCTAAGTTTTAAAGTGAAACGGGAAATGAGAATTTGAATCCCATGTACACACTGATTCCTGAACCACCCCACAGAGAACAGTGTTGCCAGCCAGCCCCATATCTTGCACACATATGTTTCTATGGTGTAAATTTCCCCGTGCCAGTAATAGGAATTGTTTTAAAACTAAACTATGCTGTTCTTATAGAGCCCAAATATGAGGCTTGCCTAAAGTAGTACATGAAGAACACAAAACAGCAGGATAACGGGGTGGAGAAGACGAGGGCTTGACATCATGGTGGAAGCAAGAGAGAGGATTAGGAGTCAAGGCCAAACTTGTCTCAAAAAAAAAAAACTCACAACAAATAAAAATAACCATTTTCTGTTTAATTTTAGAGATGATGACTCTTGTTCTCCACCTACACTGAAGAAACACTGCACTTTAATCTCCTGTCTGTGCCATCAGGTCAACTGAAGACAGGGTTCTGAAATCTCAGCTATAGAGCTATCCAGCCAAAGTCTCAATCTTGCCTTAACAATGTTTCAGAGACTGAACAAAATGTTTGTAGGTGAAGTTGCTACTTCTTCCAACCAAGAACCAGAATTTAGTGAGAAAGAAGATGATGAGTGGATTCTTGTTGACTTCATAGGTAAGGTATACTCAACAGTAAATCATCACAACACAAGTGGCACTCAGAAAGCTGTGTAGCTAAGGATAACCTAAATTCCTGATCCTCCTGCCTTCATTTCCCAAGTCTATGATGACAGATACACTCTACCACACCTGGCTCAGAAGTGGGAACTCCTGGGGCTGGAGGTGTGTGCAGGTGGGTTAGTAGAATGCCTCTCTATACACACACACACACACACACACACACACACACACACACACACACACACACACACACACCACACTTGTGTGCATTCAAACATGAATGCATACATATTTACACACAAAATGTGAACTCTTAAATGTAATTTTTAAGGTTTAAAAGCAAATAAATGAAGACATCTCTAAGAACTTTCAGGAAACATTTTGTGCCAGACAATCCTGTTAGTGAAACTCACTGACGTCAGACAGTTTTGCAACTCCTAAAGCCTGGTCTAAGCAAAGATATTTTAATGGGAAACCCTCATATGAACAGGAACCCACGAGACTTACAATGTTTATTTGCCAGAATATAAAGTCCTAAAGTCATTCCTTAATGCCAGTATAACTATAGACAAGTTGGAAATTAATTTATAACTGCTACAAGTGAATACTGCTTTTGTAAGCATCTGTTAATACAGTATTTTTTCTTTTTTCTGTTGTGAACTTCATGGTGACTACCACCACTGACTGCTCATCCTCCTGTGTGCTATGTGGATCACAATTTAGATACTTGCACTAGTTTCTCAGCAGAGGAAGAGGAAGACGAGGATGACATCAATGAAGAGTCCCCAGCAGAGCACACGTCAGTCTTCTGTTTACCTGCGTCTCTGGAGTGTCTGGCTGATACCAGCGATTCCTGCTTCCTCCAGTTTGAGTCCTGTCCACTGGAGGAGAGCTGGTTCATCACCCCTCCCCCATGTTTTACGGCAGGTGGATTACCCACTGTCAAGGTGGAAACAAGTCCTATGGAAAACCTTCTCATTGAGCATCCCAGCATGTCTGTCTATGCTGTGCACAGTTCCTGCCCTGGCCTTAGTGAGGCCAGCTGTGGAAATGAAGAAGACAACTCAAGCAGCCCCAGGTACGTTGCAAGCACTTTACTCTTTGCACAAACAGTCTGCTAAGCAAAAATGTTATTTCTATACAGTACAAAGCTATGGCTTTAGAAGTATAAAGTGATTGTGTTGGAAATTTACTTAAGTTATCACAGTCAGGGTTATAATTGCAGCATGTAGGTCTGTGTTGAGTTTTGTAAGGTTATTGGTTGTAGCATAGCTCAGTTGTATAATAGAGAGCCATCTCACTTACAAAATTATGCTACTGGAGGGAAATAAAAAGACTGGTATTTCTGATAAGTATATTAGAATACATTCTGATATACTGTAGAATAAATTATTTAGGGTATCAAATTCACCTAAAATACACTTCAAAAATTTATTTTCTTCCACATGTTAGCTAAATCACATTAAGTGGTGCTCAACCTAGAAAATCCAAGTATTTGTTCTAACAGCTTTCCTCAGATTTCACATTGCAGTGATGTCTGTTGTATGTCAGTCCAAAATGGCAGGGGGGCTCTGAATGGCAGATGGGTGAGGGCCCAGTAAGCTCAGGGGAGGTAAGTCAGTGAAGATTGTATGTCACAAATCAACCTTCAAAGATTCTGTGGCCTTCACCAAGAGAACATTTTCAGCATACATCTCAGACGATTGTCACCTATGAAAACCAAGTCTTCCTCTCCATTTCATCTGCTTAGTCTGGCCAGTCAGTCAATGCATGTCAGTGAAACATGCTCTGTAATAATAGCAAACCACATTGTGAGAGCAGCCACTGACTTATGCCTTCTCTGGACCCTTTGGAGTACTTCACCGCCATCCTATGTGCTCCTCTTGGATATTTCAGGCCATGACTCCACTGGACCACTGTATGTAGCTTGTTCCCATGAATAAAAACTAAACCCGGGCAATGCTAACCTTTCCAGAATTGCTGCCCTCTTAAGTCTCAGTATTATATAGACGTACTTTAGAAAGGCTAAATACTCCTCTTACTTGTACCAAATTAAAAGTCATGTTTTAATACAGTCATGTAATACCAGGCATAAGCTGGGGCTTCAAGTGGCACTTTTTTGAAAGACATTATTTTGCTGAGTTAAGTGTATTTTGGCATCCCAATGAAAATTAGATAGACCTTGTTTGTAGGTGATGGCAATTTAATTGCTTTACCGTTGCTTTAAGCAGATTTCTTCAGTTCTTAAAAATTCTTCCCTACTAACACTGATTGAATCTCTGAGGAATCCATTCAAGAATTTTACATGATTAGGCACTAGAGAGATGGCTCAGTTAAGAGCACTGGCTGCTCTTTCAGATGACCCATATTCAATTTATAGTATCCATATGGCAGCGCCTAACTGCAACTCCAGCCCGTGGGGATGACGCCATCTTCTGGCCTCTGTGGGTACTGCAGACACATGGTGCAGATTTATTTACATGCAAGTAAAACATTCATAGGTACAAAATAGAAATAAGTAAAATCTCAAAAAAATTTAAAAGAATCTTACATGATTAACAGTCACTTTAAATTTACTTACTAACACTTGATACTTTTAAAGTACATGTGTGTGTATAATTGGCAGTTTTGTAATGTTATAGCATACACTGCCAAGAATTTAAATATGCAGAAATTTAAAAATTTGCAATGACATCTCTTATGATGATCCACATATGAATACTGTTAACACCCTAGGCATGCCCTAAGTTGTTTTTACTATATAGGTAAGTTTCAGTACCTGTTCACCTACACTTTGAACCCAGATGGGGGCATGCTCCCAATTTATTAGGCACAATATCTACCCTCGTGTTCCCGCAAATTTTCACTTTATCTGCTTACCAAATCATATTCTAATCTTCTCCTTAAGAGCCTGTTTCTGGAGTATTCAAGCATCTGTGCACTGCATCTGGAAGTTTGGATTTACACTCCTGTATTGTACATCCTGACATGTCGGATCAGCAGACAGATACTTTGCATACATGAATTATCAAAGGCCAGCCATGGTGGTACATGCCTGTAGCATTTAGGAGGATGAGGCAGGAGGATCACTAGTTCTCTAAGGACAGCTTGGAATACATAATGAGATCTCTGTCTCAAAAAGGGTGTGTGTATATTTTTAAATCAAGGTAGAATCAGATGTTAACCAAAGTAGCAACACTGTTTATATAGTAAAGCCTGTGCTTTCTGAGCAAGCAATAAACCATCTTTCAAACATACTACTTCCGTTCTTTCTGTCCTCAGGAATATTAGTGCAAACCACAAGAGGATGAAGCTGAGTACTTATAATGCTTTAGAGTGTACATTTTATTGCATCTTAGCCTTTAAATATTGTTTGTGAAGGTTTATGTGTAACCATAATTTTAAGTAATATGTCTTCTATTACCCATAATCAGTCTTATTAAAGAAAAATGACCATGTCCTAGTAGTAAAATTAAAATGGCATTTTAAATCTTATAGTGATTTAATAGTTCACCATTTAACATTTGTAGGGCCAGGAAAAGCTGCTTATAAGACTCATGGGCACAGAGTAAGTATGTTCACTTTGAGACTGTATGATCTGTGTTATCAGTCTGAGCAAGGAGCTCAGGAATCCAAAATGCCTGCCTTCTAAAAGTCATCGAGCTGATATTAGCTTCTGTCTGTTTCTTTTTTCTCTTGTTTTTCCGTATTGCGAGGGAACAAGCCTTGCACATACTAGACAAGCACTCTACCACTGAGCTATCCTACCATCCAACCTGTGTTAATTTCTCAATGGGATCTGTGTGTATGTGCATGAAGATAGTTTTCTCCCATCATTTTAAGCAAAATATGTTCACTGACTAAAATAACTAGTAAAGATCCTAAAACTCAGACTGGAATATAGCTCAGTTTGTAGAGTGCTTGTCTGGTGCACAAGAAAACCTGGGTTCAGTTGCCAGTGAATAAACCAGACTTGTTAGTGCACACCTGTCATCCCAGCCCTGGAGAGGGAGAGGTGGGAGGATCACAAGTTCAAGGTCATTCCTGGCTACCCTGAGCTAGATACCACAATCCTCATTGTCAAGTTGTGCTGGGAATGCAGCTCACTTGTCAACCCTGCAAGAGGCCTGAGACCAATGCACTGCACTGCCTAAAACTAAAGCTTTTTATGCGTTAGTATACATACTGGCTGGGCGTTGGTGGCGCACGCCTTTAATCCCAGCTCTCGGGAAGCTGAGGCAGGTGGATCTCTGTGAGTTAGAGACCAGCCTGGTCTACAAGAGCTAGTTTTCAGGACAGCCTCCAAAGCCACAGAGAAACCCTGTCTCTAAAAACCAAAAAAGAAAAAGAAAAAACATACTGTATACAACCACGTTCTAATGTATGTGTTTTTTAAGGGTCGTAAAACTCTCTGGTGTAAAGGCCATTCCAAAATATGCTCTCCTGTGGTATAAATAAAAAACTGACATAATAAGCATTGATTTTTTTTTTAACCTAGCAAATGTGAAGTTGAAGGAATGTCCTTACATACATTTCTATGAAATACAGATCCACATGCTACCTAGGACATTTTTATTGTAGCCAGAAATCATCTGTGAAGGTGCTGTTGATGTAAATGCTTTCAAATCAGTCAAATTTGAGAATTAACATATTTTATTTTTAGTATTATGGTAAAACTGAAACATAATTTCTTCAAAACAGCTAAAAACTGGGTATAGTGGCTCACACTGTAATTTCAGCACTTGACAAGCTAAGGCAGAAGGAGCAGTAATTCAAAGCCAGCGTTTCCAACATGGCAAATTTGAGGCCACCCTGAGCTACATGGGATTCTGTCTTAGAAAACTAAATAAACAGATTTGCAAATGTTCAGTAATCAATTCTCCTCTTGGAGAACCATATTAAATTCACTCAGTATGAAGCACATTTTTAATATACAGCCCATTTAGTCATCTCTGGATTATATGCTATATTCCTATTAAAAGTTAACTTTTTCAGAGGTTAACACTAGCTATTCTTTCAGAGGACCCAGGTTCAATTCCCATCACCCACATGGTAGCTCACAATTGTCTGTAACTCCAATTTCAGGGATCCATAGACATGCATGCAGGAAAACACCAATGAACATAAAATGTGTGTTTAAAAGTTAACCTTTTCACCTAGAAGTTATGACACATATTTGTAATTCCAAACTTGGGAGGCTGAGGCATGAGGGTGGTGAACTTGAGGGTAGCCTGGGCTAATAACAAGACACCACCTCAAAAAGAAGTTGGTTTCTCCTTTCTACCACTATCAGCTAATACAATCACAAAATGTAAATCTGTCCATCAGCCAGGGGTCACTTAGTCTTCCCAAGCAGAGACAAATCACTGAGTAGCCTTTTTAAAAGCACCCTGTTGTTGATCCGTTCCACTTTGATCTGTTTCAGAATGGAAGCCCAAAGTGAAATTGGGGAGCACATTCACTGCTGTGTTGCAGCTCTAGCTGTTCAGGCAACGTTTTTGGAACAACCCAAGAGCTTCCGCCCTTCCCAGTGGATAAAAGGACACAGTGAGAGACAGTCTCTGAACAGAAATGGCCTTCGTCGCCAGAACCTTACCAGAGATTGCCACACTCGACAAAAGAAGCACAGTGGCTGGGTGGTTCACCAGCCCTGCCCACGCCAGTACAATTACTGAGAACACTGGACTCTGCTGGTTGGTTTCCTCGGTCGGGTTTGTGCCTGTCTACGTATGTGGATGTGTGTGCATACGATGAAAATGCTCTTTCCAATCGCCTAGTTTGTCAGTGTGTCTAGACATTGTCACAATCAGATTGTTACGCTGTGTGTCACATAATGCCTTGCTCCTGACAACTACTTTTAAAAACCTTTTCAGAAGCTTTTTGGAAACATATCAATACAGTTACAGTGTTTGGGGTGGTCTTTAAATACAGTAAGGTATATATGAGTTAGTCAGCGTCTTAAGAACATTTCTTACCCCAAGTATAAGAATAGGCATCTTTTCAATTTCATGTATTTTGTATTATTTAATCTTTTGTGTAAGCAAAAATTTATTCTCAGGGTCAGCCATATACTTTATTGACCAGTACTTGATAGTCTTTTCTGTATATAATGAGTACATTTTTATACACTAACATGAGCATTAACAGATTTTTGCCATGGATATAATGGAATTAATGGCTGAACTTACTTTTGAAAGAAAACTTGACATATTCTGTATGTATGGTTCTTTTTTCCCAAGTTAGTCATTGCAGTTTATTGTGGGATTCAGGTACATTATTTTTGGTGAACAGTGCATTCAATAATTCTGATGTGACTCCACAAGATGGTACAGATACTAGAGCTGCCATGGACAATAGCACTTGCCTCCTATGCAAAGGGAAAAATGGGAGCCGTGGTGATATTGGAGTTCTGTCTGTAGGTAGCCACAGAGCAGTCAGTATTTGGAGGTGTCTAGAGTCTTAACTGCCACCTCAGCTGAGAATGCACAAGTGCTTGCCCAGGCACTTGATGGCTTCATGCTCATGTCTGCCCTTAAGAAAGGTAAATGCTCAAGACATGGAGCCTGTCCTCCTAAGGGGAAAGCATGGGGGATTTGTGTCTGTTATAGCATCCAAGACTGATGGGTTGGTTTGAGTTTTTTTTTTTTTTTTTTTTTTTTTGGTTTTTTCGAGACAGGGTTTCTCTGTATTGTTTTGGAGCCTGTCCTGGAACTCACTCTGTAGACCAGGCTGGCCTCGAACTCACAGAGATCTACCTGCCTCTGCCTCCCGAGTGCTGGGATTAAAGGCATGCTCCACCAACGCCCGGCGAGCTTTCATTTTTTTTAACTTCACAAAATCTTTAACCACTTTGGCCTGTTTGCTCCACAGCAGGGGAGTAATAATACGTCCCTCACAGAGTTGTGAGGATCACATACTAATTGAAGTGGAGCTGTCAGAACTAAACTTTGTGTGAACTTCCAGGGCCTTTTTGCCGAACCTAGTGGTGGGAGGCTGTGGCACTTTTTCTGCCATGATTATTCTTCAGGGTTGGTGCTAATGGTGTGGGGTTCCACTCACATAGGTCAGTTAACTTGATTAAAGGAAAGTCCATTTTCTTACCTCTAACTGGTCACTTCTTTGTAAGCAGTTTTGATGGATTTTAATGAGCCATCCATACTTGCAACCAACTTTCTGGAACATTAAACCCATGTACAGCTTAAAGCACATTTTACTGAGAATGCTGTCATTACCTATATAATCAAACAACTCACTTCCCTATCTCCTCCGCAACCCTCATTAAACACTTGTTCATGAACTAATTTTGAGAAAAAGGCAGCATATTGTTACATGAAGTATTGTCCCTGGAGCAGCTTGACACGGAAGCTTGGGAGACTTTGAGGGAAGAGCTGTGCTCGCTCTGACGAGGCTGGGGTTTACAGCTGCAGTTAGATGGTGAAGGGTGTTCCTATACTGGCTGTCTAAGTGCCAGGGAGGCTCTCTCAGAACAGGAATCTAGATTCCTTGTCCTTCCCTAAACCTTTTCCACACTGACTTCCTCTTTTGTTTATCTGTTTTCTAATTGGGGCCAAGTCTGTAAAGTCGTGAAACTGAGAAGTTATTTGTTACTATTTGTGTTTTCATGAAGGTTTGCATGTTTTACACCATGTCTGTTATAGGATCATATGCTAATAACTTGAAAATAGAGCAGCTACGTGTCTTCTGGACACAAGCTTCTAAATGCATGTAGCCTTTCCTACCCCCTTACATCAAGTTGTGTCTCACAAGCTGGAAGCTCAGCCATGATCATTTGTTTGGCCAGCATCAAGTGATTTGTGTATTAAACTACAGTAGTTTTTTTTTTTAAACATTACATCTCTTTCAGTTACTGACTTTTCATTTGCCTTGTCTGTGCCTAGTATTTTTGACTTGTCCCTGAAAACCCACAAACAGATCACATCAATTACTGGGATTTTTTTTTCTCTTTAAGGTTAAGATTACCACACCACCTATAATAGGTAGCACACTGTGGTTCCTGTGTGAAAGTTTATGTCTAAAATTGGCACATGGAAGAAAAATTGAAGTTCCTGGTCATTAGGTGTTTGTTAGGCAACTACTGTAAGACATAAGTCCAGCAACACAGACCAATGTGAACCTGTTAATGCTCTGTGAGACACGGCCAGAGTGCATTTTATGAGTTGGTTACTCACTGATTACCATCACCATATTTTGTAACTTCTAGTGGTTTACAATGTACTTCAGCGCATTAAAAGTACAATCAGTAGGAAGACCCCAAGGGTTGGGGGTGTAGTTAGTGATAGAACACTTCCTTAGTATATGCAAGGCCCGGAGTTCCACAAAACAAAGCAAGACTCCTGCATTAGGAGCATTTCTAAACTGATAGCCTAGAATTTCGCTTGGAAAGTCTGGAATACATGGTGTATATCACCACATATCTGGGGTATATTTTTTAGCTTTTACAGCAGACCCCACATTCCTGGAAGTTTGTGATTTGTGTTAAACATTTTAGAGTGTGTATTCTGTTAATTACTATTTTCCGAGTTATATTCTGCACTGTAGGTAGATGCTTAGCTCGCCATACTTATCTTGTGGCTATTTGTATTTGTGTGGTTGGGTAGGTACAGAGATGTTAAGAGATTGGATTTATACAGGAACTTAAAAATAATTTTCTGTATATTTTTCCAATTCCCATACAGATGGTTCCTGTTTTATCACTTCGTTGGTTCTATCAAGAGTGTTTACTTAAAACTTGCCAGGGCCTATAAGTCTGCCTGTTATTTTTACTTCTCAAATCTGTACACTGGGTTTCAGTCTCCACTTTTTTAGAAATCTGAATTGCTTTGCTATTTTTTTTTGTTCCATCCTCACAGAAGCATACAGTTTTTGTATACACTTAAAAAAACAAACAAAAAACAAGGCAGGGTATCATCTATTCTTATTTTCTTTGAATTGGAAACAAAAATAAGTATGAAGGACTACAACTAGAAGACAGACATTTAAATGCATTTAAGTAGATTAGTGGAAAAAGTTTCTACCATTTTCTTTTTATTTTAGAGACAGTTAAGAGACTGCTCCCTTGGGGCTGGAGAGGTGGCTCAGAGGTTAAGAGCACTGGATGCTCTTCCAGAGGTCCTGAGTTCAATTCCCACCCAGCAACCACATGGTGGTTTACAACCATCTGTAATGAATTAATAATAATAAATAAAATCTTAAAAAAAAAAAAAGAGACTGCTCCTTGTACTGGGAGATACTCTACTCTATGTCTCTGTTGTTCCCTTGAAGTTATCTTTTTATTTTATAAGGCATATAGATACTATTAGTTTAAAATTCTTTAAGGTTAGGTAGTTCCATGCCATCAGCCTCTGATGTATTATAAATGGCAACCCTACCTACTTCTTATACTGAAATTTTACATGAATGCTTGTCTACACATGACAGTGTTGTCCACTTTGTCACAGGCCAGTTTCTCTTGAAATGTGACACCAATTCAAGCAGCTTGGGTGCAGACACACCAGGAAGAGTGTCTCCTCTTACTGGCAACAGTATCCTTTATGTGGAAGAGAAGTTACTATTCAGAGGAAGGCAACTTAGTGGATGCTGTTCTGTGTGTCATTGATAAGTTTCCTTGTGACACTGAGAATGTCTCCACTGTTGAGTGACCAGCTTGGCTCTCTCTGCACTTCCCTGTTTTAGTAGTTTAGTAGTTTGTTTTCTAGGTGGACTTGTAAACCCAACTGCGCCTGGGAGGTTAGATGTGTGTATTTGGGGGCCCCAGGGGTGTGTGTAGTTTTATTTCTTTCCTTTTTGGTTTCGTTTCCTTTAGATATTTTGAACTTTAGTCAATACTTCTGTGTTATTTTTTAAGTAGCTTTATTTCTTTCCTCTAGTAAAATTGTGAACACAACTTGCCTTCTGAAGGCAGGATATGAGTTATGGATACAGAAAAGTATTGTAGGTTGTACTGTGTGCCTTTACAATGTGTTTATGGGCAGTTTTTTCTCTCATCAACTTGAACACCTAAAAGGGACATTTTGGTTAGGCTATATATACTGTATATCAATCTATGCATAAATGGCAGCTTGTTTTCTTGAGCCACTATCTAATTGTTTTTCTGTTTTTATAAAATTTTTTATACTGATTGGGTCACAGATGGTCAGTTTTACACAGAATGAATAGCACAGCACTTTGCCAAAAACACCTGTAGTGTTGCTTAAACACTGTGTATTACACCAGTTCTTTGTAATGGGTTCATAGTGCATTTTGGGGAGTTACAGTTTTTTTTAAATCTGTCAGTAAATAAAATGTCCTTTAACTTAACATGTGTTGGATACTTTTATCTTCATGGTCATTACTTTGTTTTTTTAATGTGCACTGGTGTTTTGACATGGGTGGTAGGCCCTGGAACTGGAGTTACAAACAGTTGAACTGACATGTGGGTGCTGGGAATTGAACCTGGGTTCTCTGGAAGAGCAGTCAGTGCTCTTAACCCTTGAGTCATACCTCCAGTCCAGTCATTACTCTTGAAAGTAACACAACTTAAAACACTTGACATCATCAGCCAGTGGTGGCGCACGCCTTCAATTCCAGCACTCAGGAGGCAGAGGCATGCGGATCTTTGAGTTTGAGGGCAGCCTGGTCTCCAGAGCGAGTTCCAGGACAGCTAAGGGTGTTACACAGAAACCCTGTCTCAGAAAAGAAAAGAAAAGAAAAGAAAAGAAAAGAAACAAACAAAACCCAAATCTAATAGGGGTGAGAGTGTAACTCTTTTGGTAGAAAGCTTGCCTAACATGCATGAAGTTTGGACACACTGGATAAAATTGGGTATGGTGTTTTGCCTGTAATTCCAGCACTCAGCACTGGGGAGGTGTAGATAAGATGATCAGAAGTTCTGATTCTTAGAACAACGTGAATTGCTCTTGTACACCTTGTAACAGAGCTAGACTGGTAAAACATTAATTCTTGTGGCATACTTTTATTGAAGGACTTGACAAAGCAGAGACTGCTTATGCTATAACTAAGCTGTGAGTCAGTCTTTTCCTACTATCAGGAGGCCGTGCGTGCGTGCGTGCCTGCGCAACCTCAACGACATGAATTCAAATGAATCTAATCTCTGGATTCCACAACGGAACAAAAGAACAGACTTCTAAATATTGCGCTGATTGTCACAAGTGTGCTGTGTTTTATTAAACAATCTTTCATAAACATACTAATAAAAGTTTAAAATTTAAAATTCAGTCCATAATCCTTTATTTGCAATATTTGAAAAGCCCTTAAAACTAAGATATTCCCCCTAAGTTTGTTGCCAAACTTATTACCCCCCATAAAAAATAATCTGTCTTAACTGACCTAAGTCACAACATTCTGTCCAAGGCCTCTCCCATGTACCAAAATTTGTTGCTACTTTGTTTTCATGTAACTATGAAAGTGGGGATATTGAAGTGATGGCTCAACCACTAAGAGAGAGAGCACAGGCCAGTCTTCCAGCATCTATCTCAGCACCTGCAACTCCAATTCCGAAGGATCTAATGCCCTCTTCTGGCCTAAGCAGGCACTGCATGTAGGTAGCACAGACAAATGAAGGCAAAATGCCACACCCACTTAAAAAAGAAGAAAATCAAAAAAGAGGGGCAGGAGAGATGGTTCGGTTGGTAAAGCGCTTACCATGTGAGCATGAGAACCTGAGCTCAGAGCTCCCCAGCACCTACGAAAGCTGGGCATGGTCATGTACACCTGTGACCCCAATAGTAGGGTTCCACTGGCTTACCTGGCCAGTTACTTTAGCCAAATTGGCAAGCTATGTTCAGTGACAGACTGTTTCAAAAACTAAGGTGGAGAGCAACTGAGGAAGAAAGCTGACATGCACCTCTGACTTCTACACATACACATCCCTCCCAAATGCATATATTAAAAATTTTAAAGAAATGCTGTTTGGCTTATAGGGGCATTACTTCAGGCCCTGTGGGGCTGTCAAAAAACTTATGGTATGAATACATTCATTCATGCTCTTTCAAGACATCTGAAAAGTTCTGAATTCCAAAACTCATCCAGCTTCCAGATTCCAAGTAAGACTGTAAGCCTGTTCTCAGGAAGCAGCCAGGTCTGGTGGCACAGGCCAGAAATCCCAACACTTCAGAGGCTAAGGCAGGGTTCCAAATTCAAGACCTGCTCAGGTAAGAGTGAGTTGAAGGCCAGCCTGGGCAAGTTAGTGAGACTGTCTCAAAAACAAACCAGAAGCGAGAAGAGGCCGCGCTAGAAGTGCCTGAAGGACACCAGCTTCTCTTCCCTTTGCCAGTGTTCTGTCCTTTCCCATCTCCTCAGAGAACAGATCATCTCGTTCTTGTGTGCATGCGTGTGACCCATTCTTAACAACATACTTGTACCTAACACTTTTCTCATTAGAATACATTATTCGTAACTGAGGGCCCTACTTTCAATTTCCAAGAATCATAATAAATGAATAGGACTAAGCAGATTTCTAACTGTAGGCAGTTAGTTAGTGCTTTTCTCTTGTGGTACCCAGATCTTTAAGCAACATAACTGAAGATGACCACTCCTGGTGGAAATACTTTTGGATGGTGTATACTGTAATTAGGGATCTTTACAAGGTCAAAGGCATCACCACTACACTGAACATGGATTCATAGTGAGCATCTGGCTCCCAGAGTCCTCTAGTCTGTTTCAATCTCCTCAGCACTTCCAAGCCCAATCCAGACTATCACTTCTGCTCCCTGCTGTTACATCCTTGCTAATGAGTGGAAGCTGGAAAGGCTTCTTTGGGTTTTCTGAAACAGGAGCAAATGAGCAGATAGAAGCTGGGACTTTAGACAGCTGTTCTGAAAGATGCCCTACTCTTTCCTTACTTCTCAGCTTCCCTAATCTAGGGCCTTGAGGTGCATATATCATTCCCTCCTTTATAGACAGGGCTGAAGTGAAGCAACTTTGCAAACATCAAAAGACAGAGAGTAGATTATAGCCTTCTGACCATATCAAAGTTCTCAAAAACTTCTATTAAAGAAAAAGCGCCATACTTGAGCCATGCATAACTAGAGTAGAGGAGACAGAGGTTGCTCTGTACTAGACATTACAGAGTGTGCCCACAATAGAGGAAGGGCATGGGAGAACACCTTCAGTTGATTTCTTTTACTGCTTTTGTTTGTTGCTTTAGTTTTTTAGACAGTCTCACTACATAGTCTGCCTGGAAGGCAGGGAACTCACTATGTAGAACAGGCTGGCCTCAAACCTAAGTGCAGGAACTAAAGGCTTGTACCACTATGCCTGGTCCTGTTCTTTTTATTGCTTGGTTAATTTAAGAGAGGATCTTCCTGTATTAGTCAGGGTTCTCTAGAGTCACAGAACTTATATATATGGGAATTTACTGGAATGACTTACAGGCTGCAGTCCAACAATGGCTAGTTGTGAATGGCAAGTCCAAGAACTAGTAGCTGCTCAGTCCCATGGTCTTCTGTATATGCTGGAATTCCAAAGAAGTAAGCTCTGTGTCAGTGAGGGAATGGATATGCTGACAAGCGAGAGGCAGGCAAGCAAGCAAAGAATGAAGCATCCCCTTCCTGTTTATTTTCACTTGTAAGAGCTTCCATTCTTTTATTCCTTTTTCTTTTTTTCCTTTTTTATTTAATTTAAATTAGAAACAAGTTTGCTTCACATGTTCACATTTCCCTCTCCTTCCCTCCTCCCCCGTTCCCTACTCCACTCTCCAAGGAGGGTGAGGCCCTTCATGGGGGATCTCGAAAGTCTGTCATATGACCTGGGGCAGGGCCTAGGCCCTCCCCCATGTGTTCAGGTAGTGACAGCATCCCTCCACGTGGAATGGGCTCCCAAAGTCCATCCGAATGACAGGGCTAAATGCTGATCTATTTCTCAAAGTCCCCAAGAATGCTGAGGACTTCTCAATGAAACCCACTTTTTCTTATGTGCATTGGTGTTTTGTCTGCATGTATGTCTATGTAAGGGTGTCAAGTCCCCTGGAACTGGAATTACAGACAGGTGTGCCCTCTATGTCTGAATTACAATTCATTCCCAATATAGTCAAACTGATAACCAAGAATAGACATTACACTATGTAAGCCCAGATGGCTTGAAACTTGGTGTGCTGACCAGGCTGGCCTGGAACCTGCAGTGCACTTCTTGGCTCTGCCTTCCAAATGCTAAGGTTTACAGAAATGTACCACCGTACCTGGCTGTCAGTTGAATTTTTATTCCCTGCCCAGTACGGGCAGGTACCAGACATATGCAGTGAAGAGCTTGCAGTGGGAGATGCAAGCCGTCAGTGTCCAGAGCGAAGTGGTCAGTCAGGAAAGTTGGGCTGTGTAACAACAAAGGAGACACATCTGTCAGGGTTCTTTCAGTTGCACACGACAACACGGACTCCAAACACTGTATGGGAATACATTGCAGAAGGGTCGGTGTTACATGCCAATAGCCTCGCTGCTTCAAGTGATGTACTTTAGAATGGCGGATGGACTGTCCCTCCAGGTAAGCATTCCCTGACAGTGACCCCAAAACAACAGTGTGCTTCTCAGCTAGCTCTAGTCACTGGGAGGGTTCAGAGACAGGTTTGGCCCTCCCTAGAAATTGTTCTTTCCCTGAACTATCACTGTGGCACTACTGAGTCACGGGTGGGCTAACATCTGGTTTTTTCTGGAGATGGTGGGTTAAGAGGAAGAGATGGGAGGAAGGTACTTCCCTTACCCCATCATAGGACTATTTTACTCTTGGTCTGAAGAAATACAACGTATCTCAAAATAAAAGATAAAAGGTTGTAGTAGTCTGAATGGCACTGGCCCCCATAAGCTCATAGCAAGTAGCACTATTAGGAGATCTGGCTTTGTTGGAGTAGGTATGGCCTTGTTGGAGAAGTGTCATTGTGGTGGAAGGCTTGGAGGTCTCACAGATGCTCAAGTCACAGCCAGTATCCCAGACCACTTCTGTTGCCTCCACATTATCAGACTCTCAGCTACTTCTCCAGCACACGCAACCATGTCTCACCATGATGACAATGAACTGAACCTCTCAACTCTAAGTGAGCCACCTTAATTAAATGTTTTCCTTTATAAGAGTTGCTGTGGTCATCGTGTCTTTTCACAGCACCAGAAACCCTAACTAAGACAAAGGTGTGACTCCAATCAAAGACAGCATAAAAAGTCTGTGCAAGATACTGCCAGAGCCGGGCTCAAGTCTTTAATCCCAGCTGAGGCAGGTGGATCTCTGTGAGTTCGAGACCAGCCTGGTCTACAAGAGCTAGTTCCAGGACAGCCTCCAAAGCCACAGAGAAACCCTGCCTGGAAAAAAAGAAAAAGAAAAAGATACTGCCAGAAAACTGAAAAGGAACAGCTAAACTTGTCCCAGAAAGCAAACTCACTAAGAAAACATCATCATAGGTAGAAGACCATTTTTTTAAAATGGATATATTTTTTAAAAAAAGATGTATTTATTAAGTATACAGTGTTTTGCCGGGCGGTGGTGGCGCACGCCTTTAATCCCAGCACTCGGGAGGCAGAGGCAGGCGGATCTTTGTGCGTTCGAGGCCAGGCTGGACCGATAGCCTCCGAAACAATACAGAGAAACCCTGTCTCGTAAAAAAAAAAAAAAAAAAAAAAGTATACAGTGTTTTGCTTGCATCTATGTCTGCACACCAGAAGAGGGCACCAGATCTCATTTCAGATGGTTGTGAGCCACCATGTGGTTGCTGGGAGTTGAACTCAGGACTCTGGAAGAGCAGCTCTTAACCACTAAGACATCTATCTGTGCAGTCCGATAGAAGACAATTTTAAACCAGTGTCCTACTATGAATGTTAAAAATGTAATGAGACAGTGTTTGAGGGAAGATGATAAAGCAGAAGCAATGAAACGCAGGGAAACCAGAAGCTATAGGTGTTACTTGAACCAGGAACTGGAGTTCAGAAAGGAAGAGGGGGAAAAATACACTTCAGAGCTGAAAAACCAATTAAAAAACAAAACAAATAAACAAAACCAGGAACACATGGTAGCATTTTAAGGAACCTCTGTGAAAGATGAAGTAAGGAAAGTGAAGAATGGGAAAGTTTTAAAACTAGTTACATAGAAAATGACAGGGAAGATGGGCAAGTTGAAAACACACAAATGAAAAGACCCAAAGCAATGGAAGGGAATCAGTATTTTGTTGTGTGTCTTAAATTGACCCAGCACCGGGTCAGAACAAGATTCAGGAACAAAGGGAAGGCAGACCTGCCTGCAGGCTCTCTTGAGGCAGTAGCTAAGAGCAGGTCAGAGGTGCTCTGTCCCAACCCCCAAGGAGCTGTTCCTCCAAGGTGGTGGCCTAGAGAGGAAAGGGCTGTGCCCGACCTCCTAGTCCCACCCAGCTTTAGTCAACTCCATGAGCAGGAGAGGGCTAAAGTGTAAATAAACAGTTCAGGAGACCCTTGGGAACTAAGTCAGCAAGCAGAGATCCACAACGCTCAGAGCGTGACACCTGTGGTGGAACATGCATTCATCATTTCAAATCCTGACATTTTACATAGTTGCTTCTAATGCCTTTAAGGAAATGCAACTCTACTCATTTTAGTTAGAGACTATTATGAGCCCCTCTAACCCCATGTGTCACCCACTTTGGAGGTTCCACTGTCCTGATATCAATGACTTATTTTTGTAAACATGTTGTTACCTCAATAAGTATGTAGTTATGACAGGGCACACCATTTGTCTCACATGCTTTCCAATTTAATATAAATGCAACCATACTGAATGTGTCAATTTAGTCTTTATTTTTTGACCAAAAACTATACATTATCTTTTCTTGACTTTTTAAATTAAAAAAATTTATTTTTGTTGGGGTAGTGGTGGTGCACGCCTTTAATTCCAGCACTGGGGAGGCAGATGGATCTCTGAGTTAGAGGTCAGTCTAGTCTACAGAGCAAGTTCCAGGACAGCCAGGGCTGTTACCAGAGAAATTCTTGTCTCAAAAAACCAAAACCAAAACTAAAGGAAAAAAAACCCAAAAACAAACAAACAAACAAATAAAAACCAAAACACAAATAAATTATTTTCTTTTATATGCTTGGGTGTCTTACCTGCACATATGTCTGTGCACCATTTCATGCCTGACCCTGGAGCCCAGAAGGTGTCATATCCCCTGGAACTGAACTCATATGTGTGCTGGGACTCAAACTGGAGTCCTCTGGAAGAGCAGTCAGTGTTATTAACTGCTGAGCCATCTCTCCGGTCCCCTTTCTTGGCTTTCTGAGACAGAGTCTCACATAGTTCAAGCTAGCCTTGAACTTGTAACTCTCTTGGCTACCAAGTGCTGAGATTAGACTGTGGCCATCACATTCAGCATGTCTCTGAAACTGACCCCTATCTGTGCTTGTGGCTTTAAAAAGAACTTCCTCATGGATATACAAAATATTTATGCCATCTTTATTCGTAAGAGCTAAAAACTAAAAAACGAAGTCATTATGCATCCATACACCAGCACACAGACCAGCAGTAAGAAGGAACAGAGGGGCCGGAGAGGTGGCTCAGAGAGTAAGAGCACTGACAGCACCTGCTTGCAGAGGTCCTGAGTTCTTCAATTCTCAGGAACCACATGGTGGCTCACAACCATCCATAATGAGATCTGCATGCAGGAGGGAGGATCAACACATGCACAGCATGGTGTAACTGTGCCACATGGAACGACGTTTACTCAAGAATAGGTATACAACTCCATTCATTAAGCTCTAGTCCTGGTGACACCAATCTAAGACAGAAAAAACAGAATTACAGATGCCGCTAAGGAAGTGAAGTGGGGATTAACATGGAAAAGAAACTTTCTGGGGTATAGGTGTTGTATAATGGAGAAAAATATGAGTATACATGATGAAAAATCATAATGAAACCCATTATTTGATGGGAGATGTCTATCTGTATATATGTTTATCATATTGGTTGATAAATAAAACACTGTTTGCCTATAGTCAATAAGGGCAGGAAGATAGATGGGACTAGGAGATGAGGAGAATTCTGGGAAAGGTAGGCAGAGAGGAACTGAGGACAGAGGCCATGAGGGACTGGGAAGAAAAGAAGCAGCAGGCATTCTCTGGTAAGATAAGATCACATGAGCCAAGGATGATCTTAAAGTCCTGATCCTCCTGCCTTAATATCCCAAGCACTGGAGTTACTCTCTGCCTTAACTCCAAGGACAAGGCTACAGAGCCAGGGGGACATCTACAAAAGGCCAGGCTTTCGCTGTCCTAGAGGACGAGACACTGAGTCTGTTGAGGGACAAGCTGCAAAGTTTTCCATGGACTTTGGTTCACAGGAGGGGACACACACCTGTGTATGCTGACAGCTGTTACCGCATGAGGGCTGTAGTTGGCAGTCACAAAAGTCAGTCCTGCTCTAGCGGGTCAGAAGGGCTTTGGTGGAGGTAAGCATATTACAGGGAGGCACAGCTTCCAAGTCCCAAACACTTCCCTGCACGCAGGACAGTTTCTAGGAGGGGTGTGGCCTGAGTGTGAATGGATAAATGGCAGGGACAGAGGGGATGCAGGAGAAACAAACGGGCAAGTATGCAGACAGCAGCACATGGCTGGACTCCTGCCTCCATCTCCTGATTGCTTGGACCATGGGTATGTGTGATGACTCCTGGCTCAGCAGGTTTAGTAGATGGACTCCCTTCAACTCTAGGCAGTACTAGAGGTTAAGTCCAGGCATGGATCCTAAATAAGCACTCTACTATTGAATCATACCCCAGTCTTGGCTTGTTCTTTTCTTAGTATGTGAGACTATCATTATGTATTATTACCTAATTATCATTAAGCATAACTCATTGTTGCTAAAGGTTAAGTACTGAGTTACATAAAATAGTTCTAGATACAAACAATGGAGTAAATTAAACAATAACAATCTTCAATGCAGAAACATGGGTACTTGACTTTAACGGAGAAGAGAGATTATTATTTCCTCAATACCTAGGTATGAGCTGCATATATTGACTTCTTCCAAAGAGCACAGCATGGAATGGGAAAAAAGACTAACTTTACAATGGCAAAGATTACCTCAGACAAGTGCTCAACAGTCAACATCAATTATGATAAATCATGGCACCACACATCTTAATTCAATGAAATGAAAATACATTTTACATCAGTCCTACCATGATTAAAAACAAAGCAGGGCTGGAGAGTTAAGAATAGTTAGTAGTTAAGGATACTTGCTGTTTTTGCAAAAGTTCAGTCCGCAGCACCTACACAGTAGCTCACAACCATCTGTAACTCTAGTCCTAGGGGATCTGATGCCTTCTTCTGCCCACACACACACACATATGCAGGCAAAGCACCCTACACACAAAATAAGTGAATCCACCAAATTCCTAAAGAAGAGCAGCCTACAAAACATTTTATCAGCTTTCTTAAAATTTTCAGTCATGAAAAACAAGGCAAAGCTGAAAACTGTCACAGGCTAAAGGAAACGAAGGGCACAATATCTGAATGTGATGTGTCTAAGATACGCTTGTGAGGGATAAAAACACAGTAAAGGCCTGTCACAAAGATGCATGCCTGCAATCCCATCATTTGAGACATGGAGGCAGGATCGTCAGAAGTTCAAGGTAATTTTGACTAGCAAGTTCAAGGCCAGCTTGAGCTGGACAGAGGCAGTGAGAGACCCTGTCTCAGTGGGTTAGAACCCTACCCAGAACCCTATAAACTGGTTATGATAAAGCACACCTGTGACTCCAGCACTGGAGTAAGTTCAAGATTATCCTCAACTACAAACAGAATTCAAGGCCATCCTGGGAACCTGTCTTAAAGACAAAGAAACCAAACATGCATTAAGTAAAAACTAAGGAAATCTGAATAAAGTATATACTTTAGTTAATAATAACACATCAACCCTGACTTATTAATGACAAATATGTCATGACAACAAACATGTGACACTGGAGTAGGACATACTGGGCATGTGTGCGAAGCAGGCGGGGATACATGAGAGCTCTATTCTACCTGCTCTTTTTTTTCTGTAAGTTTAAACTATTCAAAGAAAGAAAGAGAGAGAGAGAAGGAAAGAAAAGCAGAGAGAGACAGATCTCTATGAGCTTAAAAGCATCCTGATCTACATAACAAGGTCAGACCAGCCAGGACTACACAGTGAGATCTTGCCTCACAACCTTGACAAAGGAAAGAAGCTTAGTTAACTCTCCTACCCCATCATCTATCAGATTAGCACTCACCAAGGTCCTGAACCCTGAGTCTCTGAACCCCTGGGTTAACTACAAAACGATGAACCAAGTGTGCAGGCCTGTAACCCCTGCTATGTCAGAAACTGAGACAGGAGCACTGCAAACACAAGGCCCAGTCTAGGCAACTTATTGAGGCCTGATCTCAAAAAACTAAAAGTAAAATCAAGCCAAGAATAAAGCCAAGTGGTTCTTATACAGGAGGCTCTAGGTTCAGGGGTTAAACAGGGTTCTGCAGAGTACAACAATAAAGATCCAAGAGGGCTACACAGAGAAGGCATGGCAAAGACACAGGAAGAAGAAGTAGGTCTGACTTTATTCTGAAGAAACGGGGTTTTACTATCCTGCCCAGATTAGCTTTGGAGCCCAGGCTCAAACCATCCTGCCTCAGTCTATCAGTAACCAGAAAAGGGTATAAGCTCAAACCTGGCTTTCTGGAAAATAAAAAACCATTGTAGGTTTCTTTTTCTTCCTGAAAATGAACATAGGAACAATCAAAATAATTACTCCAAGAAATGCTGTAGAGGTTAACAGTTTCTTAGCTGTACCACAAATTCTAATTGGTATTAATGATAAAAACCCAGAGACAGATATTGGGGTTAAAGCTGAAGATCAGAGAAGTAAAGTGGCCAGCCACTAGAGAGCTCTCACCTCTGCCAATGCTCAGACAGGAGTGATCCTGTCCCCAGACTGCATCTCCACACAGCATCTGTCTCCACCAAACCTCAGCTGCACTGAGCTCCTGTCTCCTCTTATATTCATTCCTCTCTAGTGCTGGGATTAAAGGCGTGGGATCCCAAGTGCTGAGATCACTTTTGTGTGAGCTCTGTTTCTCTTTTAGACTGCATCGATTTTGTGTAGCTCAGGGTGGCCTTGAATTAACAGAGATTTTTTTGCCTCTATCTCCTGAGTGCTGGGATTAAAGGTGTGTGCCACCGCTGCCTCTATGGCTAGCTAGTGTGGCTAGTTTTGCACTCTGATCTTCAGGCAAGCTTTATTTGTTACATTCATAAACAAAATTATCACAACTGGCCACAGATTTTAGGACAAGCACAGTAGGTTCTTCAGAAAATGCCAAATTTCCTAAATGTATAAAGGAATGTTATACTCTTTCTACATAGCCCTGGCTGTCCTGAAACTTACTATGAAGTTCAGACTCAAAGATCCACCTGCTCTGCTGGGATTAAAGGTGTGGGTCACCATGCTTGTCAGAATTTTACACATTTTAAAGCAGATAAATGTAAAATCGGAATGACTTGGGTAAAGGACACCAAAAATTAACCAAAATATGAAAGATGACATACTTAAGATGATGCTTAAAAATACCCAAAAAGTACTAGAACTTGCTCCGTAGACCAGACTGAGCTGGCACTCACAGAGATTCACCTGCTCTGCCTTCTGACTGCCAGGATTAAAGGCCTGTGCCTGCCACTCTGACAGACAGCTAAAACCGTTCTTTACCTTCTGGTAAGAGGCAGAATATATACGAGCCAGAATAGCTTGTATTTATTGATCATCAATTCTGTGATTGGTTAGTATGTAAGGAGTCTCTTTACATTATCAAATTTAATCTTTTTTATCAGCACATATTAGCTATACAGAAATGTTTCATTATATTATATGCCTTCATAAAACATTGATCATATTTATCTCCCACTATCCACTTTTGTTCAGCTTCTCTTTATAAACATTTCCTTTTCTATTTCATGCCCCCAACTTGAGTTTTCATGATAGGAAAGTGCTCTACCACTGAGCTAGTCTAGTTTTTGCATGAGAAAACAAGCCATACCTGTCTTTCTGAATCTTGTCTCTCTTAAGAATATGTCCCAATTCCATCAATTTTCCTGCAAATACAACTTTGTTCTTTATGATTGTGTATGTCTAGCACATTTTCTTTATCCATTTATTTGGACAGTTGCCTAAGCTGATTCTGTAACCTAGGCATTGTGAATATCGGTGCCTTAGTAAAAGCTTTTGGTTTTTTGAGACAGGGTTTCTTGGCTGTCTTGGAACTCACTATGTAGACCAGGCTGGCTTTGAACTCACAGAGATCCACCTGCTGCTGACTCCCAAGAGTTGGGATTAAATTTGAGTGCCACCATGGCCCGACTTGGTGCCTCTGTTTTCTGTTGACTCAGTTCCTTTGGGTGTGTGCCCAAAAGAATCATCCGAATTTTGCTTTCACTAACAGCTACTCTGCCCACATAATAGTTCAGGATACGATCACAATTCTAATGACTTATTCAGCTCAGCAAATGATACTCTAAGACCAACCCCATGTTAACAACGTCCCAAGTTTTCAGTATATCTTGATCAAGTTCACCCACACAGGCCACCAGTTTGGTTTTTTAGGTCAGTGTCACATATAACTTAGGTTGGTATTGCACTCACTAGGGGCTGAGGCTGTAGGCCATCTGTTTAGCTTATACTCATTTAACACATTTATTGAAAGATATCTACGCAGTCCCTCCGTTTTCTTGCCACCACAGGTTAGATCTCTAAGCTGTACAAGATGACAGCAACTGCAAAAGGAGGCAACTCGAGCGCTCTCTAGAGCCATGATAAGCATTACTGGTCGTTGGAACTTTCTTAGGCCTAGGACTATCTTGTCCCTCTCTCTCCCAGACTCTGTCGCCTACGTGTCAATCTGGGAAGGAGAGCTTTTGCCGGTGTAGGAAACTGTCCTGAGAAACGGAAGGTGCGTGAAGAGGGTCCTCTGCGGAGGTCCTTCCCAGGCTCCGAGGGCCTCATGCGCAGCACGGCACAAAAGGTCGTCCGGGGCCGCGGCCTCCATGTGCATCTCGGGAAGGGCGGCTGGCCTTGGCGCCCTGACACCCGCTCGCCCGGAGGACCGCCCGGTGGTCTTTGTTCCCGGAGCGGCGGCGCGCCACGGGGCTGTGCGCGGAGTGTCACCGCACACCCGGCCTCAGACGTGCAGGGCGTCTGAGAGGCGGCGGGAGCTGAGCTGAAATACCCGGATCGCGGCCCGGCGCGGCCCGCCACGTCCCAGCAGCGCTCGCAGGCCGGAGGGCGGGCGGGCGGCTCTCCCGCGCAGGCGGTTCGCGCGGGCTCCGCAGGGCGCGCTGGCGGCGGGCGGGCAGGCGGGCGGGGCGCACACGTGGTGCGTTCCGTCCCGGCCTCTGGCCGGAGCCCCAGAGAGCCCGCACTAGTGCGGATGGGGACAGCTCCCGCTTCCGTCCCGAGAGGTGGTCAGCGCCCGGAACAGGAGTCTGGGACCAGAAGGGAAGGGCGCGGCGCCCGGGTTTCCCGCCGGGGTAAGCGAGGGAGCCGCAGGCAAGGGCCGGGTGGCCGGCCGGCCGGTCGGCGGGGCGCGAGGGCAGGGCTGGCACGTACCTCATCCAGGGGCCACCTTCCCGTGCGCGGCCTCCCGGGCTGCACGAGCTGCTCGTCGCCCGGCGCATGGCTCCGGCTCCGCACGTGGCGGCCCGCGCGCTCCGGCGTGTTTACATTCCGCGAGCGCTCCACGTTGTGCCGCCGTCCTCTCTTGCCATTGGCCGCCGCCTGGCTCCTCCCCGAGGGGCGGGCTCTCAGCTCCCGCTTCCCGCGTCGGGGAGAGACCCGGGTTCCCCGGGGCCCGGGCGGTCCCGCGTCCCCCCTCCCCGTGAAATGCCGAGCCGAGCCGCTGCCTGACACCCCGGGGCCCGAGAGTCATCGCGGGAGGGGACAGGAGCGAGCGGCGGGGCATGCGGAGCCCGTGGCGGGGAGGCCGGCCCGGGGGGAGGAGTCTCCCGACTGCCGCAGCCGCGGCGCGCGCAGGTGAAGCGCCGAGGGGCGGAGGAGCACTGCCCAGGAGGGCAGCCCTGCGGCCACTCGGCCGCCCGCCCGCCCGCGCGCACTGAGGGCAGGGCGCGGCGCGCGCGGGCGGGCGAGCTGGTTGGGCGGGGGAGGGGAAGGCGCCGGGCCGAGGTGTCAGTCTGCGGCGCATGCGTGCGGGGCGGTACGGGCCCGGCCTATATATTGAGTTGGCGCCGGCGCCAGCTGAGCCGAGCAGTAGAGTCTGGCGGTGAGGAGGTGCTGACCACAGGGGATGCGGGAGGGAAGGGAACCCCGACTGGCGGGAGCCCCGGGAAAGGAGAAACGGGGGGAGGGGGCGGGCGAAGGGCTAGGTGCCTGGGGTTAATGCGTCCCCGAGGTCGGCCCCTGTCAGGATCCTTGTGTGGGGGCCAAGGAGAGGTCGGGGATGGAGACCCTCAAGTGAGAGGCCACGGAGAGCCTCTCAGTCCACCCCCGTTTTGGGAAGGTCTCCCGCGCGAGAGGATGATAGTGTGGGTCCCTTTACGGGGGAAAATTCTTGAACAGAGTTTCCTCATTTAATCCCCCCCTTTCCCCCTTTGCTCTTCTGAAATTGGGGTCCTGTCGCCCCTGCAAGCGGCACTGCCCGCCGGGTGGGGCTGGGAAGGAGAGCAGGGAGGCTGGAGGACGTGACACCAGACGCGGTTCCCTCCACCCCCTGCTTCCCCGCCACTGCGGCTCTCCAAATTGGCGCGGAACCGGCTTCTCCAGAGCCCGCTCTTGAAGGCTCCTCCAGGCGCCTGGCGGGCCGAGCCTTTCCCAGTCTGGATGTAAGGGAAATGCGTGAATGGCCGAAAAAAACCCATCTGAAGGGTGCTGCTGGGGAACCTGGCAAGTTTCTGAACGCACTTACTTTCCGAGTGTCCGTTCAGTTGAGGAAATGATGGCATGTATGTAAAATTGCTATGAGATAACTAATGTATTTCAGAAGATAGCGTGGTATTTTTTTTTAAGGATCAGGCCACCTTCTAGTGACGTTAGTTGTTAATTTCTGAATCAGTTTTAAATGGCACTTGGAGAATATGAATGACTGTTGTTGATTTTGGTTTTTCTTCTCCCCCATTTAGAGATTTCATAAGCCTCCAAGAAGAGAATGTCGAGACGCAGGTAACACTGTTAATCTTGGAGACGTGTTTCAAAATTAGCCCCTGCGTTTGAAATACACTGCGTACTAATTAAACTTCCTTTCTAAAATTCATCACAGTAGCCGTTTACAAGCTAAGCAGCAGCATGCCCAGCCCAACCAGCTAGACTCTCCGCAAGAAGCCCAGATAATTCAGGCCAAGAAGAGAAAAACGGCACAGGTGATTTAAGGAAAATGAGGGAGGAAGGGAGGAAATTCCTTGCTGAGACCTTAGTTTACAATGGTCTTTTCTATTCTCCAGGATGTCAAAAAAAGAAAGGAGGAGATCACCAAGAAACATCAGTATGAGATCAGGGTAAATGCAGACCTGGACTGGGTGGGTTACAGTAGGAAGATTCCTCTGACCCTTGTGATGATCTTCGAGGTTAACAGGAAGGGTTCATATATGCCTGAATACTACAGCTGCAGTTTAGTTGGCCTAGAAGCAGCTGGTTCCTTTTTGTAAATCCCTCCCTCTTGGAGCTGGCTGGTATATCAGGGCCCGCCTATACACAGCTCTTTGTTCACTTTCAGATACAGTGGAGGGTCCTAATAGCTACTGAGTTGGCATAAAAAAGGGTGTGAGATCACTGACAGTCTGGCACCAAGCCTTTTGCTACCTCTTCTTCCTGTGTGTTCACTTAGAACGATAGTTTTTTCAAAAAGATCCTCTAAGTGACTCTACTTGACTGAATTAGGTTTTCTCAACTTTAGAAAACACTTCAAAAACAGAGCTTTTATTTTTAAAAAAGTATCCCTGCTAAAATTTCTTTTGAAATTATTTTACTCTACAAATGCATTTGTTATCATTTCAACACTTAATATCTTGTATTACCAGGATTAGTTATCTATTTATGAAGATGGTATGAATTGTATGGCTTTAAATTTTTAGTATGAATATCTAATTGGCCATTATTTGAAGATGCAGAACAAAAGCCATAATTTCCCAATACACTAATAAGTTTTTCTCTTTCTTTTTTGAAATGACAGAGTTGTTGGCCACCTGTACTGTCTGGAGGAATCAGTCCTTGCATTATCATTGAAACACCCCATAAAGAAATAGAAACAAGTGACTTCTCTAGATTTACAAATTACAGATTTAAAAATCTTTTTATTAATCCTTCACCTCTGCCAGATTTAAGGTAAATTTTTTCAGTTATTTCATATCGACAGTTAAAACACTAGAATTAAAATAATGCCGTGTATTTTCTTTTGACTCCATTATAAAATAGGGAAACTTGTTTGTTTGTTTGTTTGTTTTTAATACTTCCCTTACTGAGAAACAGGTATCATTCTACATGAGACAATATTTGCAAGTGATATATTTAAAACCCAGACCTTTCACTTGCTTGGTGAGTGCCTCCAGAGTCAGCAGAGCTGAACTACTTTTTTTTTTTTTTAATTTTTACTGAACTACTTTTTAAATGTAGCTTCAGTAATTTGTATGATTAAAATGGGAACATTTTAAATGGACAGCATTTTCAATTGACTTATTAATCCCACTTATTCCTTACCAAGCTTACTATCAGTTATGATATGACTAGTAGTTATAGCTTATAGAGAACGTTTATATAGTAATAATTGACTTAACTTGAATATAGTCAAATTCTTAAATAAATTATCCCCACGACTACTACTTTTTTAAGTGTTGGGACTTAATCACTGTGATCATATAGTTTAAATTTTTTCTAGTTTGCTTTTAAATGATACCTTAAGCCATAACTTTTAAAAATTATAAGGATTATACAGCATTCCTGCAGTTTACCAATAAAGTGGAAATCTTTCGAGTTGATGCCAAGAGCTACTTTTTTCAGTTTGTAATTGGAAGTTTGAAATGTGGGGGGGTTATGTTATTGTAAACAAAACTTGTATAGATGACAAGATATCAATTATGTGTCCCCCTCCCCCATGTAGCTGGGGGTGTTCACAGGAGGTTTGGCAAAACATGCTACAAAAGGAGAGCAGATATGTGCATGACAAACATTTTGAAGTTCTGCATTCTGACCTGGAACCACAGATGAGGTCAATACTTTTGGACTGGCTTTTAGAGGTATGTTCAAAAATTAGGCATTTCTTTTTGTTTACAATGGAAGAATATTTGGATGGGTATGTGCTTTTCATGTGACTTCAGGATATGCTATCCAGTACCAAGAAGCTACCTTTTGTGGGCACAAACTAGTTTGTGGCACCTAAAGTAGAATATGACTTTTTTTCCTTGTAGTGCTGGGTATTGAACCTAGGGCCTTTGTGTGTTAAGCCAGCACTGAGCTACAACCACAGACCTTTCTTTCTTAAGAGTAAAATCAGGCGTTGGGGCATAGCTCAACGGTAGTATGTCCTCAGTACCAAAGCAGAGAGTAAAATCCCAAGAACACACCTTCTATGATACAACCAAACCAAACCAAAATCAGAAATCCCCAACAATACAGGTTTGGTTCTACTTGAGGGTACTGAAGGTGATAGAATGTATATAGCTGACTAGGTTTTGAATACAAGCAAAGAACCAGCTGAGACTTCAGTGCCCTCGGGCATCCTTTTTCTGTATTATCAAAGCCAAATCATGAATTCTGATTTCATACCCTAAGCCAAGAAGCTTTGGATACCCAGAGGGCCCAAGTCCTCTAAATCCCATTTAGCTTCCTTTCTGGGTGTTGTGGTGTATGCCTGCAACTTACAAAGGCTGGGACAGAAAGGTTAGGGCTTACAGGAGTATCAGTGAGCCTGAAATCGCTAAATTTATGCAAACATTTTTTTTATTATTTGGGTCCATTCACCTTCTCTGGGTCATTGTAAATCCCTCAAATTATTGCTAAGGAAACAATTACTTGGTGTTAAACTTATTTTCTTCCAATCCTGGGTATTTGCTGTATAGTCTGATGGGAGGTGATGGATTGTGGCTTGTGGCAGGCGGATTTACAAGTTTCAAACAAGCCAGTACAGGTTACATTATCTCAAAATAAATTAAGGGCTTAGTGGCCAATGCTTGCCTAACAGTGAAGCCCTGGGTTTGATCCCTAACATTGCAGGAAGGTTATAGATTTGTTCTAAGGGAGGAAGACTGCGGGTGGACCTTTTGGTAGTTAAACATACAGTAGATCTCAGAAATGTTTCCAAGACTATAAAATGAGGTTGTGTTATCAGGTCATTGTCCCTTAAGATTATCCATTAACAGCATGGAAAGGAAACAAGAAAGTTGTTAGGTTTTTTTTTTTTTTTTTTTTTTCATTTGGGGAATCTGAAATTGAATATGAGGTCTATTTCTGAACATCTAGTTATAATGCATCAGAATTTTGTAACTAAAGTTTTTACTGTGTATGATGAAAACTTATTTTCAATATGAATGTAAAAATAAGTTCATTGTTTGAAAAAAATCTTAAAAATGTCAACATATGGAAAAGATGTCTTTTGAAATGCAACGTCTCCTGATTTTAAGATTCTAATGATGTGTGAACTGAGTGCAAGTGCCCAGATCAGAAGAGAACATATATCTAGCACTGAAGTTATAAGCAGTGTTGACTGCCTAGACTCTGGTG